GGGCCAGGAGCTTTGTCATTTCCGATATCAAATAACGCATTCTTAATTTCCAGGCTCGAGATTGGGGCCACAAGATCCTCCCGAGTTATGGAATCAAGTTTTGGCCCATTTCCCATAACCAGGACATCGGGCTCCAGGCAGTCTATAGTAGTGCCAAATAATGTAGTGAAAAAATTCACAAATTCTTGGCCAACTTGATCTAACGAAGTAGTCAAGTTACCATCTGCCATTTGAATAGAGGCAATTGAGTTGCGGGCAATATTCTTTTTAACTATAGCGTGAAAGTACTTGGTACTTTTGTCCGCTTCTAAAATGTGAATGGCCTTAGCTTTTTGTTGGTAAAAGCTAGTTTCAGCCTCACACAGAAAAATGGCACGCTTTTTAGCACTAGCCAGATCATTAATCTCATCTCCAGTTGGAGTGGAGACTAAGGATAACTTGTGCAGCCTTTTATAATCCTCTTTTGCCTCTTTTGCCTTCATGGAAATATGCCCAAACTCCATCTTATTAAGCTCCTTAAGGGGAGCCTTTAAGAGTTTCAGTTTCCTTACCAAGGAAAACTGGGCCGAACCCCCTATGTGCTGCCCCCAGACCTGCGCAACAATATTGGAAAATTTTGGGTGCTTAATCCACATATTAAAGAATTTAAAAGGCTTAGCTCGGTTAGCGGAATTCTTGAGAATTGTTGCTACAATAGCGGTGTGATCAAACTCCGGTTCCATCTCATGAAAATGTGCCCTACAATCCAAGCTATGTTGGCTCCAAGATGAATTGATTAGGACACGGTCCAGCTTTGCCCAAACAGTCCCTTTGTTCCAAGTGAAAAATTCCCCAGTAGATGGAGCATCTACCATTCCAGTGTGGCCTTTAAAGTCCAGGAGATCCCTCATGAGGTATGCCGATGGAAGGGCTGAACCCAACCTTTCCGTTGTAGAACAAACACAGTTTAGATCTCCCATAATCATCCAAGGAGCCTTTATATTGCTGCCAACCTGTGCTAGATGCTCCCAAAGGTCCCTGCGCTCAACAACAGTGTATAATGCATAGACAAACGTAATAAAAAAGGGGATTTGGGTGGTTTTACACACGAATTTACAATGCATAAATTGCTTGCCCACCTCAATCACCACACAGTCAGTTAGAGAGGGGTTCCAAATCATACCCATTCGGCCCCCATTAATTAAATCAAAATTGGTAGTAGATAACCACCCGGGCCATCTATTTGTAACCAACCTATTAAAATTCAAAGTGGACATCTTTGTCTCCAAAAAACAAGCAATCGAAATATTATTAGTGCGAATAATATTTACAACGGAATTTTGTTTGGAGGGTTTACCCAAACCCCTAACATTCCAAGCGAGCACTATCATAAAATCAGGTGAGGTCGATTTCTGGGGATTTGCAGCCCCCAGATGTGTATCCCCCGTCCTTGGGTCTGTCCTTTATCCTCCACACCTTCCCGGCTTTAATCTCCGCTTCTTTTCTAGCGCTATACTCCATGTTTCTCCTGGAAAAGGCATCAAAAAAACTAGCAACGTTAGGAATAAAAATCTTTTTATCAAAAGCATACCATCTCCTTGTTCTTTTGACTCCGGGAAGGGACATCAAGCAAGGGTCCGTAAAGGTAATGGCAGGCACATTAGGATCCAGCTCCTTTCGAAAGGAATTCCCCACCCTTGCCAATGGAATATAGCTTTTAATATGATGTTTCTTCTTGACGTAGGCCACCTGTTCACCATCCTCCTTGATAACAAAGTTCGTGACAATGTCATCTTCCTCCATATCATGAGCATATAACAGCCTTCGCCCCTCCCAGTCTTCTATCTCAGCGTCGATGTTGATTTTTTGAATAAGAGGCTGCTGGGTTGTATCAATCTTGTCTCCCTTTTGCACATTACTCGACTCCCCTTTCTTCTTTTTTGGCTTCGGCTTATGCCTAGGAGGAGGTAGGGGCTGGATGGCAACGGCTTCATCGCTACTGGATTCTATTGGAATAGAATTTGCCCCACACTCAGTCTCTTCACCAAAAGGAACCACTTCCTTACCTTTGGGGTTCCTCACCATAGAAGTATGGGTTTTTGAGGGCTGCCCTTTAATAAAAGAAATGGGTTTCCGGTTGAAGGAAATTTCCATATGCTCGTCCACTTTTAGTGGGTCCACTCCCATCTTACTTTGCTCGCCCGTATCCTTCCCATCCTTTGCTTTTCTCTCCACCACGTGCAATTTGGGGCATGTAAAAGCATGATGACCATATACCGTACAATGGTAGCAATAGTTTGGATAAGTCTCGTAGATTATCCTTTGCTTGTGCATTCTCCCATTATGCAAGCGGATCATGAATTCAAGAGTGGGTTCCTTTGTGGCGTCGACCTCGATCAATACTCTAGCAAATCTGTCCATTTCACCTTGTTGGGTAATTTTATCCGTGGTGATAGGGACCCCCACTTTTGAAGCCACCTCACTAATAGCTTCTTCATTCCAAAGTCGCATAGGTAACCAT